GTGTTGCATGCACATATTCAATTATATGTATATTGTGTATATATACATACTACACGCAGTTATCGTACCTATATAAATATATTAACCGTAGAATAACCAATTTATATGTTTAAAAGTTTATCATTGATATTCAATCAATTGTTTGCGGCTAATTTTACACCATAGATGAGGAGAAAGTAAAAGTTGGTGTTTGAAAAAAACTGCAGCAAGATGGCTATTCGCGCCGGTTTTGCGTCTGCTGTTGCGTTATGAATTGCGATTTCATTCCACGCGGGCATCGAGTTTTCGAACGCACCTACGTTGACTTCGTGTGTGACGTTTTCTGATGGGGGCGGAGCGTCCTCCAGCTTCCCAATTCTAACCAACCCGATCCCGATAGCCGTCGCATTCCGCTGACTTGCTTCAGTGTGCCTCGGCAGTGCGTTCGGTGCGTTTTTTGGTGTGTGCCTGTGCACATAGCCACTCACCAACGTACGTGCGTGCGCGAGAATCCATTTCTCCGTCGCATGTAACGAGGAACGTTGTGTTCATAAAAATCAGGAACGAGAAGACATTTTCCTCGCAATGCCCTGGGCATGTTTTTCCGACATTCAGGTAATCTTATCTGTAATTTGAATTCTTCCTTTTTTCCTTTGTCGAGGATCTGCATACCCAAGTAGGGTTCTCTTTTTCGAGGACCTCAACCTGAGGTCACACGGTGACGAGAGTGGAGAAACGAAAGAGAGAAAGAGACGAAGAAAGAACTCGTCCTCCATTACTTGTTCGCAAGCAAATGGTGGCTTGCTCACTTACGAGTCTTTGTTATAATTATTTACGTCTTTCGTTGAATCTTTACAGTGTTAGCGAGTCTATTCGTGGCTTTGTTGCAACCGTGTAATCCTAGTATTCTTAGAAGAGGTTCTATGATGTCAACGGCACAATTTTGCATTGCCTATGATATTATTATAAACGGGCATCAGTTGTAGTGTTTGTTATGATTCTTGGGTTTGTTACTATCTCTTTCACCGTGGAGGAAAACATTAAATGCGCATTGCTTCTGCTGTATTATTTAGTTACGCTCCTCTTATCCGAGTGTGCATTGATTTATCGTAATAAGTGATTTCTGTTTAATCTACTTTGTCAGAATTGTAATATTATTTTTTTTGTTTTGAATACGTTATTTGAAAGTGGGTATACGTATATTTCTTTGTTACGATTTTAAATAATCATTCGCTTTTTCAAAGTTTAAATGCTCGCTTTTATGTAACAAACAGATTTATTTAAATATTTATTTTGTTGAATTCAATCGCATGTTATCGTATTAATTGAAGATAAACATAGCAATATTGCTCGTGTTTATAAATATAAATTTGAAAAAAGTGAAT